CATACTTTAGATCAGACAGTCTGCCACCTGGAAGTAAATCGATACTGCTATCCCTGCACGATGATAGGGCTGTTTCAAGAATTAAATCGATGACAAAGTTAAATAGAAAAGGAGAGAGAAAGCAACCCTCTCGAACACCACTTTCCGTGGTGAACTCGGGTGAAAAAGTGCCGTAAGCTCGAACTCGGCTTCGGCTACTATTGTAGAGGGATTGTAATATTGAAATTAACTTCTCGGACAGTCCCTCCATGGAAAGGCAGCGCCAGAGTTTAGAGCGGTCAACTGAGTCGAAAGCCGCTCTCAGATGGAGGAAAATAAAAACAGTGGGTCTCCGAAAGGAGTGTCTATATTCTAGAATTTGACGAAGTGTGAAGATGTGGTCAATACAGCCTCGACCAGGTCTGAAACTGGCCTGGTTCTCACGCGTACACCGCTAACGTGCGGCAGACAATCGACGGAGTATGATACCAGCGAGAAGTTTAGATACAATTTTGAATAAACTAATTCCTCCGTGGTTTTCACAGGAGGATCTGTCACCTTTCTTGTAAATCGGTATGATCACCGATTCACACCATTCAGTTGCAATCTCTTCCCTCTCCCACACTGAGCCCAGGAGTTTTGTTTACTCTAAAACCAAGGCTGAGCCTCCATCCTTAAAAACGGTTGGGGACAGCCCGTCGGGGCCGGAAGCCTTATGCCGTTTGAGGTAACTTATTTCCCGGGTAACCTCCATTTCAGATGGAGGACTGATATCAACTAGCAATATTTGCACAGTTGAACAGGTTGGGGGGAGGTCTTGCGTCGCAGGGGACCAGCTGAACTGTACCTTAAACTGTTCTGCCCAACGTTCAAGACGACGTTCCTGAATTTGAATCAGTGTGCCGTCAGATTCTTTAATTACCTCACTTACGCCTGCTTTCCTTGGTCCTGTGCTCCTAATTAAACGAAAACGATTGCGACTATTACCAATAGCCGCAGCCTTCACTATCTCTCTACACTTCCCTACCCACCACTTCTCGCGGTCACTGCTCAGACATGGTCGGCAGATACTCAGTAGATTGTGTATGGTCCGTAAACAAAACCATTTCTTGAGTGCATGGAAAAATAAATGAGCTAAGGTTAGAGATGAGGCTCACTACTTCCGGCTGGCCGCCCACCCTCCCGCATAAACATTTATGGCAATTCAACGGTACCCTATCTGGCTTTAACTAGCAAGATTAAGATCCGAAAAGGAATAATTTAAACCTATCCACATAAACTTCTGTTTAGATTTCATGATTTTTGTATATGAATTTTAATTTTTTTTATACCACAGTACAGGTGAAAAAGTTTCAACTGAAATGTAGGCATAGTTGCCTGCACAAGTCATGACAATACAATACAATGCAATAAAAGTCACTGTCTGCCACGGGGCTGAATCCACTAAGAAGACAGAAACGTAAACAAAATCTTGCCCGTTCCCTCTCTGACCGTGCACAAAGGAGAGCTCAGCTCAAGAACTGGAAGGCTTTTTTGCTCAAATTCCATCGTACAACTGATAGACAATTTTGAAGGTAGTTTATGGTTCAAACCTTTCGGGTACACTCTTCCAAACGAGACAATGCCAGAGTTTAGAGCGGTCGACTGAGTCGAAAGCCGCTTTCAGATCGAGCAAGATAGAAATGGCGATTTTAGGAAAGGATTGTCTGTGTTCTAAAATTGGACGAAAAGTGAAAATGTGGTCGATACAACCTCGACCAGGTCTGAAACCAGCCCGGTTCTCACGCGTACACCGATCACGTGCGACAGACAATCGACGGGGTACAATATCAGCGAGAAGTCTAGAGACGATCTTGGTTAAACTAATTTCTGTTTCTTTTTTCACAAGAGAATCGATCGCCTCTACTGTAAACTGGTGTACTGACCAACTCACAACATTTCTTTGAAACCTGTTCCCTCTCCTACACCGTCCTCAGGAGTTTGATCAACTCCAAACTCAAGTTTTGCGCTCTTTCCTTAAAACCGATGGAGACAGCCTATATGGGCTGGATGCCTTATACCTTTTGAGGTAACTGATTTCCCAGGCAACCTCCATTTAAGATTGAGAACTGGTATCTACTTTCAGTATTTGTCGAGGAGATCCATCGTTTCTGCTTCGATCGTGCGCCGGAATCCGCCGATGTTTTGATTGACATTTGGGTGGCTTCCTTGATTGCCTTTCAGTATCCACTGCGTCCGTCGACTGGTGGTTGAACCGGAAGGTGATCAGATCCACTTCGAAAGCCGATTTGTAACCATTGCTGACACCGTCTTGTGGGCATCCGTTTACAGTGGCTTTTCTATTTGCTATACGTAGAGGGAATCTGGCAGAGCATGGTCTATGTCCACGGGCGTTGACCAGTAGGAGCGGCAGTTTACAGTGGATCGTCGCCAGCGGTAGCTGATGGCAATGTGGTCGATTTGAGTTCAGCGCAGCGAAGCGGTTGGCGGTCTCCATGTAACGCGGTGTCGTTTCTTGTGCGAGATATTCGTGCTCGACA